CCAAGCTCAGCTGCAGGGGAAGCAGACTCAGAGCAAGTCCCCGTGTGGGCAAAGGGCACGTACAGGTTGTGGGAGAAACTGCTCGAGGAGCAGAAGATGACTCAGTGTGAAGACAGGGGCCAGCAGGATGTGGACACTTTGGTCAGGGTGTGTTCCCAAGGTGGGAGACACGTTCCACACAGAAACCATTTCACTGGGAATTGCAGGGAACTGATGATGGATGTGTGTAAGGGGTGCCTCGTGTGCAGCCGGGGACCTGCCACGGAGTCATCTGACAGGGAGAGGGAGTGTGTGATGCTCAGCTTTCAGCTGGACCGTTCTTTCTGGGAACAGCACTGATTACAGAAAGCAAAGATTTCTGCAGAGCCAGCTCCATGGCAGCTGCCTTGTTGGCTTACATGATACAGGCACATTCAAACAGCTGCTGTCCCCTTCTAAGATGCCATCAAAGCCAGGATAGTAGCCATCTGCAAAGAAATATGGAAAACTGAGGTCTCCACTTACCAAAAAATAAATATTGACGTTGTGCATTGCTAGAGAGCCTGGATTCTGTCCAGCGTTTCCTGAAATCCCATGATAGCTGTAAGTATTTAATTTATTAGTGCAAAGAAGGGGTTTCTTTTCTTGCAACACTCAGTCTGTCTCCACTGCCTCATGCTCCTCTTCCCAGCCTGTCTCCTCATGGTGACATCCCCTTTCCAGTGCAATCCACAGCGCTGTGCTGGAGGCCACAGGTCTGTTCAGAATTACTGAGTCCTTTATTCTGGTGCCTTGTTTAATGCAAGTTCTGTAAAGGGGACTGGCTTCCCTGAAACGTCAGGCAGTTAAGAGGCTTTTACAAGCCATCGACTTTCCATGCCACTGGCAATTTCAAAACTATCCCTTTGGATCCAATGGCTCAGGCTATTCGATACCGAATGGCCCGTTCACAGCTGGAGCCTTTTAGTTTTTATTTTGTTCCAATAGAAAGCTGCTTCTAAACATAGACCTGAATTGCAAAGTTGAAAGCTTTTATTCTGAACTGTCACATCCCCGTATTTTAATCAAGGATGACAACGGATTGCTTGAGAGAACCAGTGTAGCACGAATGGGTTGAATATATCAAATATATTTTAACCAAAAGAGGTTTGGCCCATCTTCTTTTATTTAGCTCCATTAAATGATCTTTGCCAACCACTTTGCCATTTTCAATGAAAGGTTTCAGCAACGATGCTGCCGTTCCTTTATTTCGTCAAACAGAAGCAGATTTTTACAGAAGCACTTTTTGATTTGTGCGTGCAGCTGCATATCTGTCAGAGCCCAAGAACCCAGCAGAGAGGGGCCTCTCTGCTCTTTGAAATTTCTTATTCAGCCCAGAGGCACTTTTACAAGTTTGCTTGCCCTGGGCTTTAGTGCAGAGCAGATGTGGGACTCTGGGACCTGACCAAGCTCCTGGAGGAGGAGGAGGAAGCTTCTGTGAGACGTTCCTGAGCACATAATGACTCCAGGAGTCAGTCACCCAGCTGACAAATCCCAAAAAATCTAATTCATGACCAAACCAGAGGAGTCAGCTTCCATACACGGTTGCAACAGGGAAGGCAGACAAGCGGGACACAATCCCTGTGGTTTTTCCCATTGCTGGGCACAGGACTGTCTTGCTGCTGATGCTGTGGGGCTCCAAGGAAAGGTGGGCACGAGAGAGCACAACAGTGAGGGGCTGAGCCCAACCAGCAGTGATGCCACCAGCCACAGAACTCAGGAACAACTCATAGCTTTGCCAGGGCACCCTCCCAGAGCTTGCCACTGAGCCAGAGCTGGGCTGTTTCCAGTTCCATCTTCTTCCATGAGCCTGTCATCGCTTCATGGAGGAGTCTTTTGCAACTTAACCCCATCTGCAGAATCGTCAGTAGGTTGCAAATTGACTGCCTGTCCCTGCCCTGACCTCCAGGCTGTAAGGCTCCAGCTTGTGCAGGGATTTGCCCTGTCTGTCCCACAGCTTGCTGGGGCACTGCTGACAGCCACAGTCAGACAGGTCGATACAAGCCAAGGTCTGAGCACGTGGCCTTCATGCAGAGGTGTGCCCTGAGCCACTGGTGTCTCTCCTACACACGGGCTTTGCTGGAATGGGGCACTCTGGAGTGCCCTCAGCTGAGCTCCTCCAGGACCAGCTTGGGGTTTGCACTGGAGACACACAAGTATCAGCTACCAGCACAAAGAGAGGAAGAGAGAAGCACCTGCATTTTGCAAAGGGGGTTGTTTTGGACAGGAGGGTGGCCAGAGGAGGCTGGACCAGCAGGCACTGTTCAGCACCAACCTGCACTCACTGGTCCCTCCCGGTGCTCCAGCACTGATGGTTGTATTGTGGAGCCCCATTGTTTCAAATCCCAACTACTTATTTTTTCCAACCCAATTTTCTCAGGAACTGACCCAATTCTAGCACTCAGGAACTGGCATTCACCCTGCTGGCAAATGGTTCTCATTTGTTTCAAATGATCTGTCCAGTATGACCTTTTCTGCTTAAACAGCTTACACAACGAGAATACATGAATGTTAAATTCTAATCTTGCAAAACTCTGAAAGCAGGGCCATACATTTACCAGCAGCAAGGGACTTTTTTCCCCCCCATCATTTTCAGAAAACAAGAAGGAAAAAACCAACAAGCACAGTGTAATTTCAGTGAAGGGAGAACTCACCCACAACCCCCTTGCCCCCCAAAGTCCCAGGGCTCTCAGGCAAGAAGGTTAGCATGACTCATTTCTGCTACTCTTTGCTGTGGAAAGATGAGAAGGAAGATCACCAACCATGGGCAAACCCCTCATGGCCTTCTGGGGCTGTTTCCCAAGCAAATACCACTGTAGATAGGACAGTAGTGGGTCATGAGCTTGCTGGTTCCCCACCTCAGAGCTCCCTTTGGCACCCATCAGGACTAACTGGTCCTCACAGTTCGAGTGCCCTTCCTCACACTGCTCTGTGTTCTCAAAGCCGTGGTGTCCCCCAGCACACAGCAGCTGGTGCCTGTTCCTGGAGGCAGTTGTTACAATCAGACACAGGGGATCTCTTTTTACCTCTGGCACAGAAAAAGGTTGGAAGGTTCTGAAATTTTCCCTGCAACTGCCTTGGAAGTTCTGAAAGTCCAAAAGCGCTCTTTGGAAGGGTCGTGCTCTCCCCATTGCCACCTAAAATCGCAGCATCTCGTTGGAGCCAGAGCCAAAGGGCTGTGAGGGGATGGGAACAGCTCCACACCTGAGAGGTGACAGTGCCCCCCCTGAGGTCTGCACGGCCAGGGCAGCAGGATGGCAATGGAGAGGATTCCTGACAGGTGGAAAGGGGTCTGATCCAGCCTTTGCTGCTCCAAAACATTCCCACTGACTACAGCTGGGAAGGGATAACACATTCATTTGGGCCTCAAATGGAGCAGTGATACCATAAGTCTTGTACAGGTGCTTTATATGTCTGAATTGTTTCTCAATATGCCTAAATTTGCCCATGGGAAGATGCAGCCTGAGCCACAGCACGTTGCCTGTCAGGGCATGGGCACCACAGCTCCACTGTTCCTGCAGTGCCCTTCATATCTCTGTATCCTTGGGCTGAATTTGGAGACCCTCCTGAGACAGACTAAGGCATACAGCCAGGTTTGTACTGACACAAGTTTTGTGTTGTGTTTGGTAAGTTAAGATGTATTTCTGATCATTTCTTCTGACTGGAACTTCTCCATACATCCTCATTTCACCCAGAAACAGAAAAATTACTGTATTAATAATTGTTGTAACTTATGTGACATAATGTTTATACTTATGTGATTGACTTATGTGATGTAATAATTATAATTATGTGCAGGACTTGGGGGATTTGATATTAATTTAAATTGAAAGTTAGCTGTTAAAATGTTTGTGTATTTTCAGTTTTTGCTGTGTGTTTCCAGCTGGAATTTCTGGTTAATTTAAAGCACACACACACACACCCCTGCCAGCACAACCTGCCTCCTCTGGCTGCCTCTTTTCACAATGTTGGCCCCAATCTTTGAATTTCTAAAGTACCCTCTGACTTGAAGTTCTGCCACTCAGCAGAGCCCCATTTTCATGTTGTCACACTGTGGCTGCAGGTGCTGAGTAAGCAGCTGGGCTAGGGTATGACCTGGGAGTCCACCTCTTTCAGCCAAGGTTGTGGAGTCAATGTAAAGTGAGTTTGTGACCTGAATAGATCCCGGTGATGCAGTGCATGCTCACACAGATACCAGGTTCTTACACAAGTGGAGCTCAAGCAGTGGCCTCAAGCTTTCAGAGAGATTAACATCTATGTCTATACCTATTTATATACCTGTACCTGTATCTGTATATTTCTCTCACTCCCCATCTAATCTATACCTATACCTGTATCTATATTAAAAAAAAAAAAAACCAAACCAAAAAAACCAAACCAAAACAAAAAAAAAACCCATGTGCTTAAAAGCCTGTAATCCAATATTTTCTGGAATAAGGAAGCAGGTGTATCCACAGGCAGTAATTCCTAACCACCTTCAGCATGAAATCCGAGGGAAGGAGTAGCCCCTTCCCTGGAAACTCTGCTCCTCTCCCTCTAGGTTCATATTTCCCCTTCAAAAATTATTATGATAACTAAGAATCCTCACCAGCATTCCCAACATTCCTACCAACTCCTGAAACAGGAAAAGCCAAAGGCTGTTGATAGCTGCTTAAGACATGTTGGTTTATAGGCTAAGGCCAGGCTCAGTCATTCTGGTTTTGATCTTTTTTTTTTTTTTAATGAAAATATCACTATCCAAGGCACGTCCTGTGGTGGGGGGTCAGTCTCTCAGTTGAATCACTCTTTCCACAGAAGGCGTTCAGCAGGCGGCTCGGTGACTGAAGTACAGCCTGACAGGAGGGTGTGCTTAGCTAGCCAGAAACTATTTCAGACGAAGCCAAAGTCATCCATGTGTTGCCATCAGCAAAAAGTTACAAATAAAAAGTCCCCTGGGAAATGATTAATCCGACTTGGTAAACGAGTGAAAAGGCGCTTGCTGTCAGTGCTCAGCCTGCAGAGGGAATACCGGGGCTCCAGGGATGCGCTGAAGCCTTTGAACTGCGCTTTGTTTCTCCAGCCCCCTCGCACACGTGCTGCAGGACCGGCCCGGCTCCGGCACAAGCCCTGAGCTCCTGCCTCCAGATGGCTCCCCAGAGGCTCTGCACTCTCTCCGTGATGCTGCTGTGGGGCTGCGTGGTGGCCTCCTCCTCCTCCCACACCTCAGGTAAAACCCAGCGTGCTCTTTCAGTGCTTCAACCAAAGCTGCTCGTGTGTGTGTTTGTTATGTGTGTGTGTTTTGCAGTGAGTGGCTGATTTATAAACCTTGCAGTCCGTTGCCTAAACGTCTTTTGTGTGTTTAGTGGATATTTCTCTGAGTGAATTTGAAAGGAGCAGAAACTGCCTTTGGTGACACAGAGAATATATTGTTTGATGCAGGGATATCAAATAGAAATACTACTCGGGTACATCAGTGCTCCTGAGCGTGGTCCAAAGCAGGGCAGACTGCACTAGGTGAAAAAAGCACAAGGCTTAATCATACCTGGAGAATAATAATTTCTTCTAAAAAAATATTGCTATGCAAGCTGTCATCCGTGGCAATGGCACTTCAAGCACCCTTTTTGCTTCAAGCCCTCGAGCACCTCTTTGCTGCACCTGCCAGCCCCAGCTCTTTTGGCCTCTGGTAGCTGGGACTTGGCACCCAAAAGCTTTACCTCTCCAGAGGGATGGTGAGCAGGTCTGACCCTCCCTGGCACAACCAGCACAAGATGCAGAGATAAAAAAACTTGTCCAGGAGGCCACTGAGAGACTCCCTGCACAGAAAGCTGCCGGCAAACATTCCACGCTGAGCAAAGCACTCTGCCTTTAAAATGGGATTCTGAAAACATGAGAGTCGCCTGCAACCTCTGTGAGCAGTGCAGAGAAGTGCAGACACACAGCAGGGACATATGAGGGGGGCACCTGACAGGCTGCCACTTTCCCACTGGCAAAATAGGTGGAAAATTGCGAACCCTCCTGCTGCTTGCACCACCTCGGACGTGGCACGGCGTGGAGCAGAGTGGTGGGAGGCAGCTGGGGACCAGCAGGGGCTTGTCACCAAAGCAGTGATGTTGGCAGGAGTGTGCCCAGCAGCCAGGAGGGCTGTGATTGTCTTGCCAGCACATCCCTTACCTGACTCACCAGCACAAGCGTCAGGAAGAACAAGTTGCTAATTTGTTGGTTTTTTTTTTTTTTTTCAAGAAGCATTCAGGAGCAGCTTTCCTTCAAGACTGGATAATGGAAAAGAGTATTTCTAGTCCTGTGTCCTGTATGAATGATGTGAGTGAGACTGGCAATGTAATGTATTGTTGTGAGAATGAGAAACTGCAAGAGGCAGTGCTGACATTTAAAAAACCAATCAGATTCCAGAATGCAAGCCACACCCCAAAAGGAAGCTTTTTTGGTCCCTTTGAAATCCAGTCAAAATTTATTTTGTAAGAATTGCTGTTTACAATAGCAATTGTTTTGGGAAAATGCAGCTGTTTTGTTCAAGCTCAGGATGCGAATGAATTTCAGAGCAACATCATTTCCAGTCAGAAGTTCCAGTTTCGACCCATCTAATCCTCTCTTGACAGCTCATCACCAGACTCATGAGAAAGGCTTCTAGCTTTTTTTTTGCTTCCTTGTTTGCATTGTTGCAATTTATCCACTCAGGAGGAGCTTCCCAGGCAGGGGAGAGCCCAGCTCACAGCCCTGACAGTAGGTGTGGAAGCTCCTGGTAAAGGAGCAAGTCCACTGCCCACCTTGGAACCCAGGACTCACAGCTGGTGGGAGGGGAGAGTTCTTGTTATCCAGAAAAATACATAAAACCAAATTTTTCTCTGAATCATTACAGTCTATTGTTCCCTGCTCCAGCATCATCCTGAATACACTGCCACGATCTCCTGCTTTGACATCTCATGTAATAACAAATCTCCCATGGAGCTCTACATGCTGGGAAAAGTGGGATCTTAAAACTGCTGCCTGGAGTGTGTTTCATTTCGGAGAATTTCCACAGAAGAAACAAACCCTCCAGCGCTGTACCCTGCAAACTTTCCAAGGAGCACACTAAAGTTTGATTTATGTCACCATCTTCCACTGAAAAATATTCTCAGGGTCTGTTTCACAGTGGATTTATAGGGGAAAAAAAGGAAAAAATGGTGTAAATCCTGATGAAGACATAAAAAAGGTGTCAGAGGAGCCAGTGACCACCTGGAGGCCAGAGTCAAACAGAGAAGCGGTGGCAATGCTGGACTGACACTGCCAGGAGATGGGCTCCAAATCACTTTAAAATAAGGTGTATCATGCAGCAGAGAGGTAGAAACCAGATGGATAATCTCACCTATAGACAGTAGAGAAAAATGACCTTAGATGTTACAAAATTTGACTTTGTTTGAGCTAATAAAACTGAGTAGCCAAACAGCTGCTGTCATATGAATGACAGCTCCACACAGAGCTGGAACTGCCCTAGTGTGGAATTCATCCATAATACACACTGATTTAGTAGCATACAGCAGCACCCTACAATACCTTGGTAAAAGCCAGATTGACTGTAAAGGCACATTTTTGCATAGCTGATACACGTCCAAAATAAGAATTTTAATTTTCTGACTTTTTGCCTTTTTTCCCCACTGTTTTTTTTCTCCCCCTGGTTAATCTTTAATATACTTGAATATAATATATATATATAAAGCAGTATGGATGATTTGTGTCTGTTCTGGTTAAAGGATACAAATCTCCCTGACAACATGCTGTGATCTGTCATCCTGTGTTGGTGCATGTGCTGAACACAATGTTTGCAGAGATGTTTGTCCTGAAAGTTGGTAAATATTATGAGCTGAAGGTATGCAAGTTTAGGACATGAAAGGTCATCCAAGGACAGTTGCTTTGCTTAAGGCATCTTGAAAAAGAATGTCAAAGAAGTGGCATTCTGCGGGCCTTTTAAATGGTCCTTCAGTGTTTCCTCGGAGCATCAGCAAAAACTGGTTTTTGGGGGGTGGGCAGGAGCAGAGCTTGTGCATGTTTGTGGAGAACAGGCTATTAAATAGCCAGGACTGGACCTGGACCAGCAGCACTTCCCTCCACATCCAGCAGCTGATTTTGTCATATCATCAAATTTCGCTACTGTTCTTTTGTTTGTTTTTTCTTTCCTCTGACACTCTGTTTACCCTCTGCTTTTCTTTTTTTTTTAATGTAGTTACTCCCCCACGAGACCTTCAGATCACTGACCCTGGACTTTTAGGTTCTCTTGATATAGAGTGGAAACCTCCACCCGACGCACAGACCTTCCGTGACTGCACAGTGAAATACAAGTTTGAGTATCGCAACACTGGGGATACAGACTGGAAGGTAAGGCAGAGCAAGAGTTAATCCTCCTAAATCCACCCTGTTGTTCTGCCTTCAGTTCCTGCACAGGTTTATGTTTGCCTTTCGAGGGGGAGTGGTCCCAAAGTTGTTCCAGCTTTCCACGAAAAGGCCAGACTCTTCCAGTGGTTTGGATCTTTTGCCGAATGGGGATGTGTTTTGATGTGTAACAGCAGCAGCATCCAGGCAAGGGGTTATTTCTGTCAGAAGGGGGAGGGTGGTGCTTGCTGCCCAAAGCAATCCAATAACATCAAGTATCATTCTTCATTGTAAAAGACATTACACTTTCTACAACATCCTTACAGGACTGGAACTGAAACCCAGTGTCAACAGATCCTTAGGGATGCAAAGTGGTGAATAAATAAAAGTTAAGTTTCATTAATTATCCTGATGTTTTAACATTCCCTTTACCCCATTTACTTTTGTCTTTTAGATACAGCTGACTCTAACTCAGCTCTATGATAAAATTGTCAGTCTTCTCACGCTGATGTGCAGTAGGGCAATGGCAGGCAGGCACAGCACAGGAAGGGTTGTAGGAATGTATTTTGGGAGTGCTTAGAAGATGAAAGCTGCTGCAGGGTTAGGAAGGTAAACGGAGTGGAGAGAGGAGAAACCCAGCAGGAGGCTGTTTGCTTGGCACAAGGTACTGAGGAACACATGAAAAATATGCTGAGGATGTGCCCCAAGAACCCAAAACAAAGATTGGTATCCTGAAAGGAAGAGGGATTTTTTTGCACAGTCCTAAAGCAGAAGTGTTAGAGAGCTCACCAGCTCAAGAGACCAGGCAGAGAGAGGAGCAGCCAGTGGGCTCAGCAGAGCTGTGGAGCACAGCTTCTTGCTGGAATGGTTTCTGCATGTCCTGCATGAACATCTGCTTCATCTGCCCAAGGCAGCAAAGCCAAGGCTGCCAGGCTGTGTTTGGCTACCACAGAAAAGGGTTTTGGCCCAGACATCCCATGGGAGCCTGCAGAGGTGGAAAATCCTGTGTCAGTTATGGGTTGCAGTTGCAAGGGCACAGAAAGATGCTCTTCACCCTGACATTGGTCATGATGCACCTCACACTCCAAAGATGTGCAGCACTGTGCAGATTCTTCTAGGATGAATGGAACTGAAATGTAGAAGAAAAACATTCCAGTTCCAAAAAGCATGTCAGAATTCCCAAAATCACAAGTTATGAAAGTGTCTCATGCAAAGCAGATCACCTCTGGAACCTTTCCAAAACCTTGACCCCAGATGAGGTCAAGAAGAAGAGTCAGCCCGAAAAAAATGCATTGGACACCCTTGTCAACTTAGTTTCCCTTGAATAAAGTAAAGGGGAGTAAGCTGAGGGGGAAAAAAAAAAGAAAAAAAGAAAAACCTTCAGAGGAGATGCTCAAAAGGTCCCCCAAAAGACAAACCCAGTGGTACTCAGTGGTGAGCCCGTGCTGCAGTGCCTGGCTGCTGGCCCATCTTTGCAGGGTGTGTTCATGCTTTCCACAGGAAACAGCCACTACAAGACGCATTGTTCCTTCTGTTCCTAATTATCTCACGTCATGAACAAAAGCTTTTTATCTGGATTAGCACGGATGTCCTCAGCAGATCGTCCCCAGTGCTCCTCGCTGCTGGGGATCCCTTTAAACAGCCTGTGCTGTCGTGTCGTGTCTGGTGTCCTGTGGGTGGAGGCACTGAAAGCCAGCAAGGCCGGGCACAGCAGGCACTACAACAGCGCTGGAGAAGCCCCGGGCAAGTGAAACAACTCAGAAATGTAGAGAGACATTGGAGCACACAAAGGAGCCTACTTGCAGCTGGAGCGAGAGCAAGGGGAGCTAATTCTGCAGCCCACTTAGCAACCGAAGAGGTGCTTAAAAAGTCTGTCTTTCAACCAGGTTATTTTTACTAGGAAGCTAAAATTCAGAGCTGGATTTGACCTCAGCAGGACTGCTGAAGTGAAGGTGCAGACCCTGCTCGAAGGACAGTGCACCAATGGCGTGGAGCTGCAAAGTGACTGGATTTACGCTACCTTTCAGGTCCCACTGCAAGGTTAGGAGCAGCCTGTGGCACCTGCTGCAGTTCTGTGCTTTGCATGAGCCTGTTGCATGAACCAATGCTGGCCTGAGGGTTCCTGGGTGAGAAAGACTTTGCAGGGCTTATTGAGGTGTAAGACACCAGAGCATCTCTGCTTCCAGTGGCTGTGGTTGTGGTTACTGGGTACCTGGGGCTCATTTCCCTCTGCCTGCACCCCAGCTCTGCTCATTTGCCCTGCAAGAGCTCCACTGCTGAATAAAAAGGTCAGTTAAGCATCTTTCTGCTCAAAGATGAACTGGCCTTTATAAGAAAGAGAGCACTTGGCGGTGAAATTACCTAATAATGCTGACTGGCCTTCTTTTGCTTTCTTTTCCTTTCTTTTGCTTCCTTTTCCTTTCATTTGCTTTCTTTTCCTATCTTTTCCTTTTCTCTCTTTCAGCTGTAGCACACAATTGTTCGAAGGAATAAAATGGTATTTCTGCTTGGCCTGACTGGTAAATTGCTGAATAACTGGTACATTATTTCCTTCTCATTCCACAGGAAAACTGGAATCACAGGTCCAGAATTTCCACTGCATCTATCACGACTGGGAATACCTCAAGTGCACGTGGCAGCCAGGTCTCCTGCCTCCTCATGGAGCACATTATTGGTTATATTATTGGTACGTATCAGCAAGATAGAAAAACGCCCAGGCAGCAATCCAGTGAAGCTCTCAGGGTACTAAAATGCCACAGTAAATATCCTTTTATGGCTGGCAATACTATTGCCCAATCCTCCCAGAACGAGCTGAAATAATGTCCCAAGCAGCACGTGCCTTCTGGCAAGGGAATGCACTAAAGCCCTGCTTGCTTTCTTGAAATCAGGCTCGTGCTCTGACCTTTGCCAGGTCATTTCCTCCTTTCCTTTTACTCACCCCCATGGAGTGCCTCTTTCTTCATGTTGTCTCCCACAAAGTCTTGTGCTTTCCCTTTGCTTAACATTGTTCTAACTGCACATTTCCCATGGTCCCAGCGCATGTATCTCTACAGGACAGGATTCAGCATGAGCTTGCCAAGCTTCAGGGAACCCCAGAAAAAGAGTGGGACTTCTTGGCCACTGAGAGTTTTAGTCTTCAAGTATATTTTCATAGCACATCTCATAGAGGCAAACATGCTGCTGAAAGGCAATAAAAAGGCATGTTTCTCAGCTGTTTCTTTTAAACTGCTGCCTAAATTCTGTTCTACAGGAAGAACGTGGCTAGAATTAGTGGTCTGGGTTCTTGAATTGCTATGATACTATGGAAAGGATGACTAGTTAGTCTGGGTTTCATGTCACTGGGCTATGTGTAGAAAAGCATAGCTGCATTTTGAAAAGAGTTTCCATGTAGCTGTTGGAAATAGTCTTCAAAGCAGAAGCAATGACTTAAAAACATTTTGCTAACTGCAAAGGTCTACTTGAAGGCAACCATGGAAATTCATGATTAATGCCTGAAAGGAAAACAAACAAACACAAACCCCCTCAACCTTTATTTAATCGCCTGTAACAAAACCAGACATCTGGATCTGGGTCCCATTGTAGAATAAGACTGGGTGGGAACCACGGCATCCCTTGATCCCTGTGAGCTAATTTTTATAGTACTAGTGCATTTTGGCTTAGCAGGGGACCCTTCTGACCAGAGTCAGTGGCTGATGGTGCCTACAGGAGGATGGCTGTCTCCATGAGTAGGGGCCAAATCCTTCCCCAGCTCCAGTCACGCTGTGGCACCTCGTAAAGTCTCCAGCAGTGGGAGAGGGGAGAGATGGACACACCCTACAAACCAGCCTGGGGAGCCATCTATGCATGTTAATTTGGTTTTTTCTCCTCCCCATACTTTTTCCATAGCAGGAGTCCAGGTGACCGATGCACGACACTGTGCTTTAGACAGGCTGCAAAGGGCAGTGCTTGAGTCTTAGGTCCAATCTTAAAAAAAAGAAAATAATAATAAAAAAAGGCCCTTGTTTTGGTTACTTTCTGTTTTCCTGTACACTGCTAGGTACGAGGGGCTGGGCCAGGCAGCACAGTGTGATCACTACATCCAGGATCACGGCCTGAACGTGGGCTGCACCCTGCAAAACCTGAGCCAGGCAGAGTACCAGGATCTCAACGTTTGTGTCAATGGCTCAGCAGCAGCCACCCTGCTACGGCCACTGTACACCACCCTTCGCCTTCACAACCTGGGTAACGAAAGCAGCAGGGCTCTGGGGACCCACACGGCCACCACTCACCCGAGGCTCACATCTTGCATGAGGGGGCTCAAACAGATTTAGACAGGTGGCTGGAATGTGTCTGGGTGGATTTGCCCCCAGAGAAGGGGCTGTGGCACGTGCCACACAGGACTTCAGTTTCCAGGAGTGTTTGCAGGTGAGCAACACCACTCAGCACACACCCTGGAGGGTCAAAGGGTCCCTTCAAGTGCTGGACAGCTGGGGACATAAATGGCCTGCTGGGCAGATGACAGAGCAGCTATGGGGTTTTCAGCTCTAGCAGCACTGCCAAAGAAATACCTTTGTTTAATCCTGCCGGAATTGGAACAACTGCTCTGCTCCTTTGCAAGAACAGGAGAACTCTTTAGGGGTTGCTGTTCAGACCAAGTTAAGGACTGGGAAGAACTGAGTGCAAGGTGTGATGGGGTCTGTCAGAGCAAAGGTGGATCTCAAACCCACCAGCAACAGGGAAAGGAAGCAAAGCACAGCATGATGTGCAAACACTACATGTACTTAGTTCTTATTATGGGTTGATGCAATCACCCACATGCCAGAGAGATAAAGAGCTAGTCCTCCAGCTAAGCCATGGGCTAATGAACAGGATTTCTGAAATCAATTAGTCCTGCCATGTGCTTCATACATGGCTTTGGGCATCTGACATAAACCAGTCTTCCCTGGGATTCAGAGAGTGTCGGGCTGACACTGCTGTGGTGTCTCACTGCCGGGGCCAAGGCCGAGGGAGGGCTGGCTGGCTGCAGTGTGAGGGGGACATGCCAAGCACAGTCCTCACACCCCAGTGTTTCAAAACCGCTGCACCGCAGCCCAGAACAAGGACCTAGTCCAGCCTGTGTGCCAGGTTAAAATAAATAACACAGCCTCCAGCCTCTGTGACATCCTGCTCCTCCAGCACCGTGGCTGAGGGCAAAGGCAGGTCAGAAATCCCATCAGCGTGGAAAAGGGACGGAGGCTGGTGGTGATTAACCGAAACCTTTCCACCGGGAGCTGTCTGAGAGCCACTTCTTGACATTCTCTCTCTTTTCATCCCCTCTCCAGCAAAGCCCTCGCCCCCGAGGCAGCTGGTGGTGTCCATGTCTGCGGCCGAGGAGCTCCACGTGGCGTGGAGGCCGCCGGGCGGCCAAACCCCGCCACAGTGCCTGGAGTACGAGGTCGAGATGGCAGAAGATCTGGGGGAGGCCAAGGCTGCCTGGGCGGTAGGGACAACACAGGGTGTGCCACGGGGAGGGGCAGGGCTGGGGGAGCACCAGGCTGTGGACAGCGCGTTGTCTGCCCTGCTCACAGACCGCGAGGAGGTGCCGGCTGGGACGCCCTGACCGGCTGCTCCACTGCACATGTTCCTACTTAACCCCCCCTGACCTCCAGCTGCAGCGTTTGCTTTAGCAGCAGGAGATCCCAGCAGGAGTCTCCCAGAGAGCACTTCCTCAGATCTCCCGCCTGTTACCTCAGGAAGCTGTCATCAGGGAAATTTAAAAGGCTGTTGCGGTTTGTTCCCCTGAATGTCATGGCACAGCTTGGTCCAATAAAACTGTAATTTTAGTCTCTCAGAAGAAGTGACCTGGGACAGAACGTATCTTTTATGCATGGTGGTTTTGATTTGTGTGTATCCAGGTGCAGTATGGACAGCAAAAATGAAAAGGGCTGATTAATCCTAGGGGACAACTGAGGGATATTTTTTCATTAATTGCCATATTCTACATATGAGTTTTCTTGGGTAATTAAAAGAAAGGTTCCCTAAATTAACAGGTGTAAATGGTAACATACATGATGGCATCCCCAGAAAGAGTTTTCAACAGATTTATCTTCATTATCATCTTATTGGCAATAGCTGGTCCAAAACCATTACAAAATCATTTAAAACTGCCAAAACATAATCCAAGGATTTGCAGAGCCTGGACAGTATGTTCAGGAACATCAAGTCATGGCAGAGAGCTTCTGGTGGTGGCACGTAATTCCTTGACATTTTTCTCTGTGCTTTGTTTCTCAGCCTGTGTCGACCCAAATGGAGACTGCTTGCACAATTCCCCGAGCAAATCAAAGCCACATTTCCTGTGTTCGTGTCAGGGGCAGAACAAACATTTTTTGTGCTGACCAGGGCTTTTGGAGCGAATGGACCCAGGAGTGTTTCTCTGGTATGGAACCCAAAGTAAAGTGTTTCCTTTGCATCCTTTATAAAGCCTGTTTGGGACCAGGTGCTGATGACTGCCCTGGGTATCTGCTGGTGTCCAGCACTGCAGGGGGGATGCTGGCTTAGTTACACCCTCAGCCTGCTCCAGCACAGCCATTCCTACATCTCCTTGAAGGAGTATGTTACCCTATACAGTACTATATACCTGGTATATATCTGCAATCAATCAATCAATCAATAAATCAATCAATAACAACGCACAGGGTAACAAATGTGGACCCAGTGAGTTTGCATCTGAGCCCAAGCTTTGTAAGAGGTAATATAATCCATTCTAGCATTTCCTTATTTGCTGTCATTTATCTTTGCAGTGTACAGAAAAGAGGACAAGCAGCTATTTATCCTCATTCCAATCATTCTGAGTTTGTCATGTAGCTTCATAATATTTATGTTGATTGGCCAGTGCAAGAAAAGGTAAGCACCAAGGCAGCCACTCCACTCCAAGCAATGTGCTTTTTTTTTTTTTTTAGTGTCTAGAACTATTTATAACTACAGTTATAAATGAAACAACATATTAAATACCTAAGGGCCAAACATTAATAGATGCTGTAAGACTGGACACCAAATAATAGTTTATTTTCAGTAAACAACCTTCCTCAGTGTGTCTGTTTCTGATATGAAATGCCTCTACAGCAACCCATAAACTCACAGCAAAGACTCAAATCCTGCTCGGAGGAGCCCCAACTGCTTCCGTTAAATGCAGCAGTTACTTGCATGCACAGCAGCATAAATAAAGGCATTACCATGCCCCAAACCACTCAAGAGCAGAGATTTGTACTAGCTGTGTTAGAGAAGTGCCATTTTAGTGGCTAAAGCCTCATTCTGTGTGCACTCCCATCCCAGCTGTGTGCATTCACGTCAGTGACGGCACACGGGGAAAGCGGATGCAGTGGATGAATTTGCCTGTATCCAAAGTATTGCTCCTGGATACTTTCTTCAGGTCTGAGGGGCCACTTAAAGAGAACTGATCCCCTGGGACTGACGACTATTATCTTTTCCTTTTGGCCATATAATGTAAGCAAGTGGGCAGGTTTTCTAACGTGCCATGTATTTATTTCTATATCGGTGACCGTTTCAGATCCCCAGCAGGGAAGCCATCGCAGGCGGCTGTGGGATGCTGACTCTGCTTGCGACTGCTGTACCGCTTGTGTTTGATGGATTGCTCCTGGAACATCATCCCAAGGGCAGCTGAGAAGCCCCTGAGCTTTCCACAGCCCTCAGGGTCCTTCCCTACCTGCTGCCGCTTGTGAAGCCGGTTGTTGCAATTCAAGTCCTTAACGGACCCAGGGAAACTGGAGGAGTTTTAAACTGGCCCTGCAGGAAAACTGGAAGGGTTTTAAGCTGACTCTTGAGGCAAGCTGTGTCTGATAACCCCACAAGGGAGAGAAAGGAGGCAGTGGAAACTGCCGTGAATAAAGATAACACATTGTTCTGTGGGTTTGTTTGGGTTATTTTCTTTTGTAAGGACTTTAGAAAATCTGTCACCAGCACACACCCTGAAGGGCAGCAACCCACACACCATGCTATATGTATGCAAACACCTGCACCTAACCACTGTACCCACCTTGCTCTCACCACATCTTCCTAGTCCCAAATTGGGTTGAGCCCTGCTGAGAACATCTGAATTCTGAACGTGAGCTACTTGAGATATTTATTTCATCAGCTGATACGCCTTATCTGCTGGAAAGCTGAAGTGGGGAGGCCTTGAGAGGAACTTCTGCTATAAAAAGGCATGATCACAGCTACTGCAAAGGACAGATGCTTCAGAACAAGTGAGGGTTATTCCAGCAAATGCACTGTGGAAACTTCTCTAGAAAGGGGGCATTGGCACCAGAATTCAATGAAGCAACCAAGGTGTTTCTCAACACCATGTAAATTCTCAACAATTTCAGCTGATGAAATTGCTGACTGATTTTTAAGGAAACATTCCCTATGATGATGACAGGAAAAAAAAATTGTCACTAGATGAGACACTCTTCTCCAAGCCCATTCCGGGATTTTCGGTTGAAGAGCTTACCAAGACGAACACAGAGGTTTTGTGTGCCCTTATTTCATCTGAAAAACCCCAGAAAACCTATTTTCTTGCAGAAGCATTTATTCAAAATGGGAATTTGTAATGAACAGTGGAAGCTCAGAGAGAAAATCAAGTTTGCGTCAATCAGCTACGTAAAGAGCCACACTAATCCAATCAGGCACAGGACAACACAGCAAGTGCTGCCTTACACATCCAGCTGCAAAATTATCCAATCACTATCAGCTGCTTCCACTGCTAAGTGGGAAACAGCCCAGAGTCATTTTGGGAGCAACCAAAAAAGGAAAGAACCAATAAATAATAATTTAAAAAGTTCTAGGCATAGACTGGAGCAGAAATGAAGCTCTAGGGTTGTTGCAATTCCATTGAGACATGACCTCTGCCTTTCTTGGGGCTCCTGGCCAGCCAGCATAGGATGGTTTTACTTGTAAAAACACCCATGAGCATGCACTGGGCACTGGAATACTGTGTTTTACCTTGATGAATGCAGCCCACTAGAACTGGAGAAGGGAGTTGGACTTGCAAAGCATTTACTGATTTAACAAAGAAGGTGAAAGGAACAATAAGAGAGAGGGTTTAAGCTGGGTTACAGTTCCTAGTCCAATTTGCCCAAAAAATATGTAAGAAGGGAAAAATTAAAGCTCAGAGGTGCAAGTGAGAGATGACGAAGGAATGGATGTTGTCCCTCCACAGCTAGAACTCACCTCAAAGAAGATCAGAGCTATTTCAGTAACCACAAAATACAAAAGTTAGGCTGAAGGCTGCCTAGAAACCTGCCTAGTAACAGAGTGATAAATTAAGTACATCTGCGTATGGTATCCGTACGCCGCAGCTTTACTGGGGTGTTTAGGTGAGGAAAGCTGGGCTTGGCCCTGGTGCAGGGCTCCCTGCTCCCCAAACTCACTCCTCACTAGAACAGCAGTAAAACACCCCCCACTTGCTTTCTCACAGCATCATGTTTGCAGCATCTGCAAAATTTAGTCCTAAAAGATGTCCAACAGCCTTCCTAACATCCTGAGCCTCACTAGAATTTCCATAGTACGGGTTTTTTCCCCCCTGTGTTTATAGTATTAACACTGATTATGTATTTCTCACACAGCAGTCTCATTACAGTGTTTTAGTTCATTTGCTTTAGTCCATAATTAATATTTTTAGCGAAGCCCTTTTAAAATCCCCCCTTTGCCATGCTCTGCTCTTATTGTTCCCAGCTCATGCCTGGATTCCACATTTTGTTACCATCTGAGCTCCACATGTCTGGTGGGGCATGTCTTTGTCTTTGCATACCCTTGAGTTTAGGGTCTTCTTTCTGTCTGGGACTGATAAAGTCTTAGAGCCATTTGCTGAAGAATAAAAGAAACTTTTCCTATAGAGCTTTTTTGACCCCAGAGAATGTCAATACTTGTCAAACATATGAAAGCACAATCCTGTCCATGCTGGAGGGAAATGCAAAATCAATTTAGTCTGTCATAGTCTAACTGCTTTTGGGAAGTAGCAAAACAGGGAAGATGAATGCCAAGGTCTCTGAACTCAAAAATCATCCTCATTCTCTCACTGAGATATATTTTCAAGATGCCAGCAAGAGAATAATTTGAAAACTAGTTTACCTTCTGTTTCCTCATACCCATCCTCGCATTTTTTATTTTTCTGACTGGCCTCTGAATACAAGTGTTTCAACCACTAGAACCTGCTGATGGCTGGAAGACACAAAGCAAGGCTGGCACCTTCTTTATATGAGCACAGGAACACAGGAAGTTCCACCTGAACTTGAGGAGGAATTGCTTTACTGTGAGGGTGTCAGAGCACTGGAACAGGCTGCCCAGAGAGGTTGTGGAGTCTCCTCTGGAGATGTGCAAATCCATCTGGCACAATCCTGGGTGATGTGTGCCTGGGGACCCTGCTTGAGCAGGGAGGCTGGACTAGATGAGCTCCAGCGTTCCCTTCCAGCCTCACCTGTTCTGTGATCCCCCAGGAACTCTTTACTCCTCTTGTGCTCAAGGAAATCGAAAGGTAGAAGTCGTATCTCATCGGTTGGGGCATCTCTGCTGATATTTTCTGTCTCGGAATTTACAGGCTCCTGTAGCTCCATGGCCACTGGGTGTCAGCATCTGTGCTTGGACGCAGAGCAGGAGGAAAGCAGGTGCAGCATCGGTGCCGCCAGAGCTCAGCATTCAGTGCATGAAAGTAAAACAGAGGGGATAATGGCTCTGTCACTGTAAGAAAGAGGAGTCTTGTTCCTTTTGTACTGTTAAGTGGAGAAGTGTCACTCCTTTGTTGCCTCATTCAGCTCTGGGCTGATTGCCAGGTAACATCACCTTGTGCCTCGTGCCATCGTGACCATGGCCCAGCGCTGCTCCTCTGGCCAGAGCTGTGTCAACCAGGGCATGTGCCAGCCAAAAACAGCCCCTGCCCTTCCCCACCACGCTGATGCCACTGAGCACCCCTAGAAATATCACACCAGCTCAAACTGGAGGCCCAGCTGAGCAGGGCTGTGCCCTGCTGTGTGCCCTGCCTCACACTGGCACCAGCTCCTGCACCCTGACAGTGTCTGACCGCAGAGCCAGGGCTGGTGTGCCACCAAGAGGTCCCCACCTGATATATGAAGCCCACAAAAGAATAGTCCTTACCTTTTATATGATGGTGTTCCAGCTCTTAACTGCTGAACTGGAAATATGTCCCAGCCTTTGGGACTCCCCAACTGATCTTGGTTGGTAGCTGCCCAGAAGTCTGTGCCCCTGGTGCCAATTTCTTTAGAAACACTCCTGCTAAGAAAACAATCAACCAGGTTCAGTAGAGTCCACTTTTAACAACACAGAGCTTAAAAGGCCAACAGCACAATTTATTTTACCAGAGCAAGAGCATGAAGTTCCCAGCTACAGCAACAAAGAAAAGCATTAAAACCATCAGACAGTGCAAGCACAAAGCAGGCTCAATCCTGAAAGCTGCTCACCAGTGTTTTCTCAACAACACCAGCTAATGGCAGCCCCAGCAAAGGCATTACCTCAACACCTGGTTCTCCAGAGCACCCAAAAATGCTGCTGTGGGTAAATAAAACATACTTACATGACTGCATGCAGTCAGGCTTGGGCTAGCCAAGCTGGTTGATTCTGGATCCTTCCAAGAATGCAAGTGGAGTATTGCTTCATGCAGTTTGGGGCTGGGAACACACAGCCTTCACGATCCCTTGACTTCACGTTGTCCTGTTTGTGGGAGATGCACTGACTTGACACGGCCCTACCTGCCTTCCTCCAAAGTTGTGTTGTCATTTTTCATGGCTTTACCAGCACTTGGAAGGACCATAACCTAAAAATAGCATCCTTGCTTCCAGATGTTTTTTCCTCCCACACTGGGATGTTGTTGCAGGATGTGTCACCAGGCAGGTCCTGCTGTGCAGATGCCTGGCTTGGTGCCCGAGCTCTGCCAAACGGGAGGCTGAGGACAAAAAAGGGCTGAGCTGGGTCCTCCTGCTGTACCTCTAGAGCATAAACTCCTGTGTGAATGCAACAGCTGAGCCCTCAATAAGCTTTTCAGTTGCTGTTACTGCTGCCTCAGCAGGAAGTGCAGTCCCAAACCTGGAATACCCCACTTGCTAGAAACCTGCTTCTAATTCCTGCCTTGTTTCTGGCCTTTCTGTATATCAGTGTTTTCCTCTGTCTTGTCTTTCCTTATCCAGAACAAGCACTCCCTGTTATCCTGATGCAGAGCTTGCTTTGCCCCTCTCTGGCTGCTGGGAGGAACAAGCCAAGCTTTCTGCTCCTTCTCATTAACAGGGCTCTCCATGCCCCACCTTGACTCGTGTCCCCCCACTGTGCCTATCACCAGGGCTACTGCTCAGGCCCAGCACACAGTCCCACCTATTTTTTAAAGCAGAAATGCCAACTAACTACAGAGTAACAGGTAACCTTCATTTACCCTCAAGGAGTAAAGTTCTGGGTAAGGAAAACCACCATTTGCCGATCACGGTCTGCTGCATCACCCGCTGTGCTGCACAGGGTGAGTAACTTGTCCCAGCACTTTGCCAGCTGCCACCACAGCCAGCCTGGTGGAGGGTGCAGGCAGTTTTCTCTTCAGCAGCACCTAGAGAAGGTGCAAGAGAAAAAATGGTCGCTTGGGGGTCAGCCCACCTGTGTGCCAGCCGTGTGGCTGAGCTGCAGAAAGGAGGGGTAGGAGTACTCAGTCGAGGGGATCAAACCTTGCCATGGCTTCATGGGTGGGTCACTGCAGCCTGTGGATCCCCTCTGAAGACATTTTGGGACATGTGCCTGTAGGGAAGGAACCTCCAGCACAGCTGAGATCGCTGCTGGGCGTTTGCACTTACCTGTTGCTTTCAGCAGTGTTGTGATCTTTGGGAAGTGCAGGCCCCACAGGAGGGGCACTGAAGTCTTCCTCCCCAGAATGTCACAGAAGAGCTGTTCTAGCTGCCAGTCAGGGAAAAGGACTCTGATTAAAAGCTTCAGTGTCTTTGATGAGCATCTGTCACTGGCATCCACTTGTCCTTCTGCAGGAGAGACACGGACATCAGCAGCACACACAGATGTAAAGCTGCTCTAAATTTTAACAAATGCAACCATGCAGTGCTCCAAGAGGCACTAGTTTACACTAGCATACACTGGATAATTTGGCTGTATTTTAATTAAAAGTTAATTTGTCCAATTTATACCATGCAAGCACAGGAGAGTTCAGAGCAGTGGATTTAACATGCCCCTGTGTGGTGCTACGTGATTCATTTTTCAAGTCACCTAGGCCCTAAGTGTTGATACCCACTTGAGTCACAAAGCAGCAGCTGTCATCCCAGGACACTTCTGGGGAAATTGCATTTATCTGCTAAGAGATCCTTTGGCTTTTTGGGAAGCAGAACATAAGACGACATTCATGAGGGATGTAATTGCTCCAGTCTCGATTTCCCACAATAATTTGTCATCCACTGGCTGTATAATTCTCTTGCTGTCACCACCCCAGAGCAACCACAGTTATTGGACCTGTGTCACCACTACAGGCTTACCCACTTGCCAGGCCCTCCACAGATCCTCGTTGCTGTGGCCCAGGAGGACAGGCTGTCACAACCTTTTCCTGCTCAGCAAAGGGTGGAGTGGATCCCACTGGGCACAGTGCCAGGTCCTAAAACAAGCACCCTCTTGGAGGGAGCCCATGGGAGGGCTGCCCAGAGCAGAAACCCCGCTGCTGCCAGCCTCCCTCCCCATGTACCCACGCCCCCTCCTGCTGTCAGCAGAACCTGTGATTTAGGACAGTTTCAAGGGAAATTTTTCTGTGTGGAGCTCATGCACTTGACTGTTTGTTAAAGATGTTCTGGTTTGGTTCTTCAGTCAGTGAGTGTGCCTCGCTGCATCGATTGTCTGTCTCTTAGAGATCTAAAATCCCTCACCTGAAGACACTCCATCTCCATGTTGTTATGGGATTGCAGCCTCCCTGCACAGCCGAGAGGGAATGACACATCACACAGATGTTTTGCTGACTTCTGACAGCCTCAGAGCACAGGATTCAGTGTGGGTAAAAGAAAACATGCAGAAGACCTGAGACTTAAAGAAAAAATGATGGAGAGACAGAAGAGTCAGTAACAACTTCATGGTTAAAAATGAAAAAAAAAGAAAAGCACTTTTTGATACATACACCCATCCATGCCAAAACAGCCCACGTTTCACAGTGACACCTACAGGCACATTTGATCTCCCCATCACAGGTTTCCTCCCCAGCTTTTCAGCTACTCCCATCTTTTCAAGGGAAGTCTAAAGTGTGCTGACATCTCCTGTGGCTCTCTGGGGTTTCTGTGTGTGTGTTCACGTGCACAGATGTGTGCACACATCTCACCTGCCCATCTCTGTCCTTCTGCTGCACCTGCCCAAGGCTTGGCTGTCTTTGCATGAATTTTCCCAGGAAAAAGCTTCTGATGCCTTTCCCACCCCAGCCTGAAATGGAGACAAAGCCAAGTGCAGTTCTTGGCATGCAGCTATCCTAATGATACTGTGACACAGGGAGGAAACCCATCCAAGAGACATCTGCTCATTTATCACATGACGGGCACTGCTTTTGGAATGCCAGATTAGCATAATTTGTCTGCCACAGTATCAGACACCCTTCAGCAGCTCAAAGTTAAACAACATTTCTGCAGAGCTGCTTGGGTTTGCTTTTTTTTTTTTCCCTTTAAAATACGTTGTTCCTTTGGAATTGTGGGTCTCCATATCCAGGACCCTCATGACTCCAGCACATTAGATGCTGACTGGGAAGGGAAGAGCACTGGGCACAGTCCACACCAGCGAGGAATGTTTCTGTAGGGCTCTCCAGAAGAAAGGCACTAATGGTTGACATGAGTGTCTCTGTAGAGAAAACAGCATGAACCACACTGTTCACACTGACTACTCACACATCACCTAACATTTACATCTTCAAATTATCACTCAGATGAAAACAATTGCAGACTCACAGTTGTTAAGACAATAGAGAGCCATGCTGAGGTGGGATGCCTCGAGGCTCCTCAGCATTGGCTCTGAACCGTATTCCCTCCCAGATGCTGCAGCCTCTGGGTAGCTGCTCTTATCTTCAGCAAGCACAGGACTGAAGGGGAGGCCTTCTTCTCAAAGCACAGTCTCTGTCTGAGGCATGCAGAGCTCCCCAAAGCCACCACAGCTGACCCCATGGATGGGACACCCCAGCCTTGGCTGTGAGGGCCAACAGGTCCCAGCTACGGATGAGCCAGCCCAAGCCTAACAACCAGGTTGCCCAGCCACAAAGCTGTGCCTGAACATGGCCAGCCTTGCTTCTGACCTCTGGTGGGGAAGCCCCTACAGCTCAGGAAGATGCTGGTTCTGTCCTGGGCTGCGCCCAGGAGCAGACTGGCTGATGGTAAGTGAAACAAGGGGGTCTGTTTGCTGGGTGGGAGCCTCTGCGTGTGTGCTGTCCCGCTGGCAGCCTGCACGCACAGCTCCATCTGGTTTGGGAAACAAAGCAAACAACACACCCCACAGCACCATTTCCAAGGAACTGTTGTCACTTGCTCAATCCAAACTCAAAACAAAACACCACCACACACACTATTTGTGAGACAAAACCATACCTGAGCTCAGATTTGAGGACACGCAGAACTTCCAGTAGGTACTCGCGTCAGACAGCCCAGGGTTTCTGGAGGCACCCCCACGGTCAATGGCTACACCTCAGGAGAAGCAAAGCTGCTGTGGGGACAACCTGACTTTGGTTAAGCTTCAGAGAACTAAATCAATTCTTCAAACTGACATAATTTTAGAAATGTAATTTTCAGTGGTTATTCCTGGAGGGAGCAATTCGAAGAGGGAGAATAGTCTATCACCACTTTCGTATTTAACAAGTTTGGAGGTTGGAAATGTTGGGATATCTGCTGACAGTAATTTCTGAGATTCAGCAACTGTGGGCCATACTTCAGGTATACATCCTTACCCTTGTTTTTTGTTGTTTGTTTGTTTTTTTGGGTCAGGACATATTTTAACTGGGGACAGATGAAAGAAAGAAGAGAGCACATTCGTTTATTTATTTTCTGATAGACCATGGGGAAAAAAAATAAATTAAGAATGATTAAACCAACAAACTTTTCTTTAATAAATTAATAGCAGCATCACAAAACCCTGATGTGAATGACCCAAAGAAAGTTGGGTACGTGACAGTATATAAACATTCACAAAAATGTTGTCACCCCCTGGCTGGGGGAGACCACGAGGCGCTGTCAGGCAGCGCCCTTGGCTGTCCATCGAAACAAGGGCTGTACATCAGAACGGGTCCAGCTGAGTTGACATATTTACAGTTCTGGTGCTGAATTTTTTAAAAACATTTATAAAAATCCTGAAAATTCTCTGTTCAGTTCCCTTTTTTTTTTTTTTACATCCAAATATAGCAGGTTCCCTTTTTGCCCACACAACAGAACCGACAAGGGTAAGACATGAAGGCTCCTATGCAAAGACAAGGCCTGTGTGTTGACCTCTACTGAGCTTGAGGATGCTGTGAAAATGAGTTATTCACTCATGATTTACACATGCTAGAAGCTACTGTAATTTAACTTATTGCTAAATGCTTTCAAAGTCTGTGGTTGGCTCTTAAATATATATATATGTGTGTATATGTAAGTACAAACTCACACATATATATACATACACACATAGACACGTTTGGAAAAGATGTGCTGTAAATTCCCCCAAGTTAAAACAAAACAAAACAACTTAAAAAGCAATTTGATGGTTCTGATTTTTCTGAACTGTTTGAGATAATAAAATCTGACTCAGGGTAAATAGGAGTCACTGAAGGACCAAGTTTGTGTCTCTGGCCAGCCCTTTTCCTACTGATTATCTGAGGCTTTTGGAGAGGTGAGCAGATTCCAGAGCATTCAAGCCCATGGTGGTATCTGCAGGCTGGCACATGGAGCATCCCTGCTGCCTTCTTCAAGCAGTAAGCTACACTCTGCACTGGGATATCTTGTCTGCCTGTGTGGAAGTGCTATGGATTTTTCCCAGGAGGGGATGAGGGAGAAAAGAGGACCATCCTCAACACATCAGTCTGGGATCAAGCCAGCAGCAGGCACAACCCACATGTTGGGTTTTAGTAGTGGCCTCAGCAAGGTTGTTGCTGCACAGAGCAACATAACAGCAGTAACCTAAAGCATTAGCAGAATTTTCTGTTTCTTCTAGAAGTTAATTTTAATGGAATGAACACAGCAAGCTCAGAGTACAAGCAATTCATGTTAATAAAATGCGATTTAACCGTGCCTAGTGTAATGTTCTCTGTTCTGATGATTATCACTGCCAGAGGCTGTCAGTGATGCTAAATGCATCCATGTTAGATGGGCACTGCAGCATCTGTGTAGTAGTTAATGAAGATATAAAAACCTTATGGGTGATATCTGGCATTAGACAATACTCCACACAAGGAAATGTGCATGACAGGAATCACCCCAGAGGCACAGTGGCAGAAAGACACTGTGCCTTGGGGAGTTTGTGTACACAGGAATGCAGAGGAAAAGCAATCCAAATTGTACCTGGTGTGTATTAAAAGCAGATTACTTAAACTGCATTCCATCCCAGTGTGGATGCTTTCATTAAAGACATAAGTGGTGTTAATAAGATACACTATAATTTACTTTGGGAGTAAAATGGAATATATCAAATTTAAAAATTAATCCAGATTAATATTCCACGTAGACTAGCTCCAGGTCTGCTTCCTTCCTGTCCCTGGTCACCGTTTATTTTTGAACCATGTCACCAGCAAATGATTCCAATCACATGCTCTGCTCAGCTCTGCCCACCCCTTCCTGAGGCAGGAGCAGGGACCTTCACTTGTGCCTGTCCCCCAGCATCCCCCAGGAAGGCCCATCCTGCTCCTCACAGCTTGGCCCTGGCCAGCACCACTCACAGAGCAGCTTCTGCTCTACACCCAAAGCAGTGCTCTACCACCAGCATGCAAGTCCCAGGATGCTGAAAAATGAAAGTAAATGCTAAACAAGCTAAAGAATAGCTAGATGTGAGATCCTAGAAGGCCAAAGATCTGGCCCTTCCAAAGCCAGAGTGCTCTTCTCCAGGTCAGCCAAAGCCCCTGATCCTCCAGCAGTGAGTGAAGGCAGGGCACTGAGCACAGCCTGCTCCAACCCAGACCTCATGGGTTTCTGTAAGACCAAAGGAGGGCTTCTTAAGAATCTGAGGCCTCCCATTCATAGAATGATTGAAATAGATAACTTTGTCTCTCATGCTTCTTCTCCAAGGCTGCAAGTGATCCCAGCCAGGACTGCAAAACCACAGCAGAACTGCATTCCCTACCTTCCCTAGGGGAGCCAGAGCCTCCAGTGCAATGGAAATAAAACAGCAGGATTGGAGAGGGAGTCAAAATTTAACAGAGGACCCCTGAAGTGCAAGATTGACCCAGTATGGCAGCAAGCCACAGGGCATGTCTGGCCAGGTGCCTGCATGGCCACTACGCTTTTGTGATGTCTTTCTGCCAGGTTTCTGGAAAGTCTTTACACGGCACAAATAGGGGTGAGGATTTAAAGTATATATTTACTGTCAACTTGAAAAAGAAAGTTATACTGACCAAGTCTAATAGCATGTATTTGATATATAACTATTAACGTGCCATTCTGGACTCCAGCAAATTCCACCTGAGATAAATATTCAGCATTTTTGTTCATGCACTGGAAGAAGAATTCAAACATTTTGTCCATGACATATGCAGAGTAACTAATAGTTCTGATCTATTATTAACAGTAAATATAGAACCTTAAACTTCACTGCAGTATATTAATATATATGATTTTAAGTACTGGACTGGAAAGACAACTCCTTTTTTTTCTTTAAAAAAAAAAAAAAAGCTTTGTTCAGAATGCAATATTTACATCGTCCTTTGAGTGACACTTACATTTGTACACACTGTATTTTGGCTACAGATACACCGTAGCAAAAGGCTGCGTGAGTCACCTTTACACACAGCTCACTCTCTCGCTTACAACATTACAGCTGTTTATGGAGAGCTCTGAAGTCCCTGGCTGCAGTTCCAGGCCCTCCTCAGCCTCCAGTTCCACGCTGTTGAACTCGTTGCCGTTGCGATAACTCGTTAAAGTCAGATCTTTCCCGTACAGGGCTGTTGAAGCGACGTTCAGACACTGGTTCTGCCGCAGCGCTGACTTTTTACTGCTCTTGTACTGGCAGCGGATGTAATTGGAAAACGCCCTGCGGTAGGTTTTGTTGAAGAGCGTGTACACCAAGGGATTGACCCCGGAGCAGACGTACCCCACCCACACAAACACATCGAGGAGTTCGCTCAAGAGGTCTTTGTCGCAGGCTTCCTTGCAGAGGACTGACATGACGTTAGTGATGAAGAACGGGCACCACATGATGAGGAACAAAAAGAAGACGATGCCCAGGACCTTGGAGGCTCTTCGCTCGTTGTTGATGGACTGCATAGTTCCTTTCCTGAAAAGCACTGCCTCCTTATTTACGGGGGAGTTCAAGTGAGATGCCCCCTCGTGGTTGTGAAGCATCGAAATGTTCTCTGCGTTGTTTTCCTTCTTGAGGCAGTTCACGCTGCTCCTCCTCTGCTTGGGCACCTCTCCACACATGAACACCGTTGCCTGTCTCTGCAGCACCTGCACGGTCAGGCAGTACGTGATCACCATGATGATGAGAGGGATGAAGAAAGCCATGAAGGATCCAATGAGGACGAAGTTCTCATCGTTGAGGACGCAGGTCCCGTTTACAAACACCCTGGAGTCATCCTGCAAACCGATGACTGGAATAGGCATAGATATCCCTACAGAAATGAAACCAAAAAAGAGACTGTTACCTGGAGGGATGGATGGATGGATGGACAGGGTGGCAGAGGTGATGCAGGCCCTGCATGCATTCAGACCACACTGCCTAAAACTTTTAGAAAGGGAAGTTACTGCTTCCAAGTGGAAGGGAAAACCTCATTAAACAACACTCCTGGGAGCACAACTCCAAGGGAATGACACCCTCCTCCAGGAACGGCAGCAGCCTTGCTGTGCTCCACAGCTGACTCCGTGAATGCAGAGTAACTCCTATAGGGAGTTATTTTTCTAGTATTAATTGCAATTTCTGGGTGGGGAAAAGGCAGCCACCACCCTGCTCTGTCCCAGCTGGCCACGCCATACCAGTCTGGAGGGCTTTTGAAATCGCTGACATAGGGTAGATTGCAGGAAATTTTACAAGGAAATATTTTCAAAATCCAAAAGAATTACAGCTATGAAGATTTAAAAGCAAGTTTCTTAAAGAAATTAAAATAATACCTATTAAAAAATGGCAACTCCCACCATGTCCTCATAGGCACATGGAAGCAAAACTCCTGGCTTTCTGAGTCCTTATGGACTCTCTTAGTGCAAGCAGACAGTGGTCTCTGCAAGATCTAAGTCAAATATTTTTCATGTGTTCTGTGATCCAAACTTTGTCCCTTGATCTGTGGAGCTCAGTCCCACACCAGGACAGACGCAAAACGTTCTAAAATCAACAGTATATTCTGGAATACCACAACCCGTGTGTACAGGAGATCCTGGAAAAGATGTGGTGGGCCTGATCTAGTTAGACCATCATGGGTTCATCTAGTCCTGCCTCGTGTCTTTGAGAGGTACCAGAAGTTTAGGGCCATGGTACAAAAGGGGACAGCTCTAAGCATCGTAGCTTAGAAAATTCCAAAACAACAATTTGCATCCATATCTGGTTTTTAAAATGGCTTTTGAGAGATTTATCTTCCATGAATCCTTGATCTCATTTCTAACTGCACAATTCTCAGTTCCCCAACCCACCTGTTTGTCATGTGAGCAAAGTACTTCTTGCTCATTTTATATTTGCTACCTGATAAAAATTTCCTTTGAATCCCTTAAGTGTCTCTACTGTAACAAACAGCAAATAATCACTTTTCTGGTCACCTTTTCCACCTTCTCAGTGATTTTATAGACCTATTATCATCTCTCTTGTCTGATATCTCTTTTGGAACTGGAGAATGCCATCCTATTCACTCTCTCTTCCTCATGTCAAACTCATTCTATACCTTTATCTTTCTCCATTTCTTTTCATCCTTTCCATCCTTTTAAAGAAAGGAAAAAACCTGCATATCCAAGTAGTTAGAGAGCAATAGAGTGTCTTCTGTTGTCCTCTCTGGCCACCTACCATGGAGCACCTGCTCCTCAGGCACTTCTGTGGGTTGGCCATGCCCTCCCTTAGCTCCTTCACCCAAGAAATAATCCACACTGAAGCCACTGGTGGGGCTGGATTGGATTTTTTTTTTTTTTTTGAGTTACTGTGAACAGCACAGGTCACAAAGCTCATCCTGTGGAACTCTGAATTTCTAAGCAGGAAAAGTAACATGCTAAAGAGATTAACCAGGATGTTTTTGCCATTCCAGCTAAGTGTTTTCCAGGATTCTGGAGAATTCATCTGCAATTTGTCATTACCATAAAATTACCATGTGCCAGTAAGCCAGTGAAGCAATTTCTTTCGAAAAGTAACAACTATAAATGCCCTCTGTGATTCTATCATGTGTCTCCTTAGCTCAAGCATTAGTTCTAAGATTTACTCTTCTCTCCCTCTACCTGCCAATGTTTATCAGTTTACCCTTGGCAAGGCAGTTGCCTCCTTTCCAGTATGTTAACCCCTGTTCCCTCTCCTGTGTCAAATCCCTGTGACTGCAAAACCCTTCATCACATCAAGCCATTGACTCTCCATCATTAAAGGCATCATTCTAATGCCTTTGCTCCATCAAACCATGGATATTTGGGAAATGGTGGAAGTTGGATACTGGTGAAGCAGTCTTTACACAAAGATGAAATCTGAATTAAATCAATGGCATTACACTGGGATTGTATTTGCATGGATAATTTTATGCTTTAGTGCCCTCTATAACACCTACCCTTTGAAATACTCCAAAATGAATAAAAGCTCATTCATGAAGTAGACATCATTTAGCTTACTGTTATTGCTTTAGCCAAGGGAAATGAGATGAGGCTTTGGGATATCTTCACACATAGAGTGGCATTTATGTGACACCCATAAAGTACATTTGGGAAGAATAACCTGGTTCTGGGATATGATGGATATACAGATCAAGAGCACTGATGGCAACCTAAAACTCTGCATGAGCATGAGATACCTCAGCATTGATGACAGGCAGTAGGAAGAAAGAAGCAGTAGGAAGAAAGACGCCCTCAGAGAAGCTGCCAACACACTTTGATTCAGCTGTCAGCCAGCATCCAGCACTGCTGAATGGGCAGCACTGCCCTCGTCTCCAGTGCTGCCTTTCACCTCACACTTCTCCTTTGTAACTCATTCTTTAATACGTGATTTATCACTGATCCACTGCACAATTGAGCCTGAAAGGGAGCTGAGACTGAACACACCTTTGGCAACAGGAACGAACTCTACACCCCCCCAGTAAGTGAGAAGGAAGTGTGGAAGGTCTCAGACACCTCAGAGGAGCTTCCTTTGTAGGGGATTACTGCAAAAATGTTGCTGACACAATCCCAAGTGCAACAATACCTGATTGCAGACACAGCTCCCACCCTGGCTCTTGTTTCAGTCAGGGTACATTGATCAGCCCGTGCTGTGCTCACCACCAAGCATTCCATGGTGCCTGGGCATGGCTGGACAAGAGTGCTTGACCTGAGCTCAGCTGTTGGAACAGTATGGAGAAGGCATCCAGCTTCACTTGACTCAAGCAACCCACAGTGCTAACAAAGCAGTTTTAGATGTTCATAACTTAAGAACTAAGGTCAGTTGGTCAGAGAGTGCCAAGCTCGCTACACCAGTGAGGGTGAATGTCTGCTCAGGCAAGAGGCTCTGAAGCCACTGCTGTCCACAGCCTTTCTTCTGTGCAGCTCTCAGCCCCAGAGCACTTGATGAGCTTTTTCCTGACACACTCTTCATCAACAGACTTCAGGCTGATTTAGTGAGCTGAGGTCTCCAGCCTCGGATGCATTTTCCAGTTGTGTCAAATAACTTTCTAACTAAGCTGGCAGCGAATTCCCCAAGAGAGGCAGGGCTGCTCCAAAAACCTGCCATGTGAAAGTTTTGCAAGCCTATTGCCTATCCCACTTCGCTCTTCAGAGCAAACTTGGTCCTCTTGTTTGATATTTGAGCAGTGCCCAGGGCAACTTGCTTTGCCCCAGCAAGAAGACACAACAATCACCACCAGCCAGCAAGCCATCAACCAGGTCCCTGCTACACCCCAGACTGGGAGCTCTGTGTGCCTTCTGCCAGGCAGCAGCTTGAGCAGGATATCCCTTTTCACCACACCAGAGAAAATGGACGCGATTTTTTTCATCCTCTCCCCTCTTTTGGCTTCTGTCTGACAGAGCACCAGGAAGCAAGACAGAGAGAGATCCCCTGGATTACAAATCCAATTACAACTGTTGTCCTAACTGCTTCTTGTCAGCTTTAAAGATGTCCTTAAGCCGGCAGAACTGATTCACCAAATGGGGCTGAGATGACGCTGTGGACACAGAGTAACAGATGCTCTTCACAGATTCTCAATTAATAAAACAAACCCCAAATGACTAGAAATATGGGCTTGTAAAACATGTATTAGCTTGCTGCAGAGAAAAAGCTGGCTAAAAAGTCCAAATTGTCATTCCCAGGATTTAGACTTAAATGAAAAACAATACTGGTTTTGTGTTTAATACCTTGTTTTCTGCAATGAAAGCCCATGAGACTGATAGAGATTATAGAGATTACTGAAGAGATGTGGTCTTTGATGGTTATTTTCACTAAGAAAGGGAGCAATTCCCATTCTCCTACAAGAAGATATTTCCTCCAGGGACAACCACCTCACTAAAGAAAATAGGGATCTGCTGATGCAGGTGGACTTTGGACCTCACTGCCATCCTCCTTGCATTTACAAAGCATTTATAAAAAAAAAAGCAGAAAGAAATCTATGTGCCAAACAAGTGCTACAAATGCAGTCTACACTGCAAAACCAAGAACACTGGTAAACACTGCATGTTCAAATCCATATCTTTAACCTCATATTTAAATAATATAAACTAAAAATAAACCTTATATTTAAACCAAAACAAATCTGTTTGGTTTCTTAACAGAACTGTCTCACAAAGTGCCTGCACATTTCTCTGATTCAGCCAGGGAGTAGTAAACCCCAACAGCCTCCTGACTTGCACTGTGTAAAAAGAAAGGTACTGGGGTCAGGAAGCAAAGCTCTTCAGATAAAAATCAAAGAACCTGGGCTTCTGAAGTGTTCAAAACCACCAATGCCTTTCATTGCTAATGTTGCAGCAAGGCACCTTCAGGGCTGGATTAATTCTAGTTTTGTGTAACTATTCTAATAAAGCAAGAGTGCCAGCCTTGCATTGGTTTAAAGTCAAATATAAAGGGGTTGAACTTTGAAGGATCTCCCTGCCCACAGCAAGCACAACTGCAAACAGATTAATGTCATTACTGACTGTGCCTGAACAAGCTGTTGACCTTTACTTAAGCCTTGGGAGAGCACTGAACAACCCCGATGGAAAACCAGCAAAAAACAATATATGACAGAGAATAAATTATTTTCCCCCCTGCCCTTCCATTTTGCTAAATCACTTCTCTTGGTTTGCTCAGCCAAATCTTTCCAATGGTGCATTTGAACACAGACAGAGCCTGTCTGCTTGGTGGGAAAGGTTTGAGCTAAGCCCCAGGAACACATTTTGACCTTCCCTTTGTTGCCTTCTTCATTAGCAGTGTTTTTGCCTGGTTTTTTTTTTTTTTTTTGCCATGAAAGGCATGTCCAAAGGTTTGTATGCTAAGCAGGGCCTGAAGCCTGCAGGGCAATCCCTGAGTGTGTGCTCCTGTCCCAAAGTGCAGTCCCTCAGGAGCAAACGCGTCCCATCAGCACGAGTGCCATGGAAATGCCTTGCTGAGAAACTCACTGATCCCAGAGACACAAGGATGGGCAGAAATGCAAATCACAACCCTAAACATGCTCTGAAACCATGACCTGAAGGAGACTACTTGAGTCACTCCAGTCACCCTTTACCTCCACGCACAACCTGCTTCTAGTCTGTGAGGAGACTCCAACTCCTTTTATATCAGTGGTGCCGCTCCAACCACGTTCCTCAAACTGAGGATTATCTCCAGTAAGGCAGGGGAAGGCTTAATTTGTACCTGGAGGCTCTTTAAGGACATCATTAGGACAGCTTTCATGCTTGAGGCTGCTCAGCTGTGTGACAGAACACCCAGGCCAGAAACAAAACATTGTTAGACATAAGATCACTTAATCTGAGATAAGCATTTACTGATCCTTGCAGCACATGTCTTTCATACTTCTATAAATAGATCTCCTCAATAAAACAATGAAGTAGTATGAAAGTTAAATGGGGATGTGAATTTCTTCTTAAACATGAATAGTTTAGTTATATACACACACCCCTCCGTACCTACCTGAAATCAGAATTACAATATCATTAGTGAGTCAGAGAAAAAAGGAAAATGTTTTCAAACACACACAACAAGACATGTGAGGTCTGCTTATGGCACTGATACAAAGAGCAGAATTTAAAGGATGGCCTTATCTCAGTCATTTATCAAGTAAATTGAATTTACATTGTAACTAAGGATGTAAAACTGTGAGCTGGAAAATTGGTAGCATGTGTAATTTCCACACTCTCTAGTAAATGACCAAACCTTGAACTTCCTGGGAAGCAGAGGAAAAACTCTCCTGTGCTAGCAGGCATATGGCTGGAGCACCAGAAGCCTCAGAATTAAAATGGTTACTTATTTTCATGTCAGAGCCAACGTGCGTGCACCTCCACATCAATGAAGTTCTTTCATTCACGTTTCCAAAGGGATATTTTGTTTATTTCAATATTACCCAGGTAACACTTTCCTCTGCATGACATGGTGTGCACCACCTGTTAGTTGTGAAAACTTTGAAACTACACAAAGTCTGAAATCTTGAAACAACGCCAAGACTCTGCCAGGAGGCTCACGCCTAAAACTGATTTTCAATTGTGAGGATATTTCTGTTGCCTACATTTCTATTTCCAGCCTCAGCACCGTGCTATCTGTCACAAAACTGGTTTTTACAAGCCCAGCCCTCCACAGCACCCACTTTTTCTCTAACTGAGCACAAAAGTCTTGCTCAAGTTACATTTCCTAAAGCACAGGACAACTGGCTGTGATGTGCTTAAATCTGGAACACAGAGGACTTGGAAAAGACCCATTCATAAAAAAATTGTCAACAGACCAGAGGACTCTGTTATGTTCCCCTACTTAAAAACCTAATCATAGGTTTAGGCTTGTGCAACTTGCCAAATTTGTTGCTCAATGAGCAAAGAACCCCTTTTATATTTTGCTGTCAGCATTAACATTTCAGAAAAATGGAACGCAAAAGCTACTAAATTAAGATAAATTACATGCTTTTTCCTTCTTATTCTGAATTCTGATTCAGAAACTGAATTCAGGGTTCTTTACATGGAATGCATTTACAAGTCTCTTCAGCTGAGGCAGTGTTTAGGATATGCAAACTGACCGTGCTGCACTTAAGTGCTGCTTGGAATTTGCTCCTTAATCACATACAGAAGCACACAAATTCTTTTGTGATACTTAATATTGAAGTGAGGATTTACTTAACCTATTTCATCCTCTTGAAATAAGCACAGGATTTCATCAGGCCTTTCCTAGTTAGGAGCTGGAAAACAGCAACAATACACTTTGGGTAAGTTCTCTTTCATTCCATGCTCACTTTATTCCTGTGTCTGTCACATTTCTAAATCCATTTCTGAAGTAAATGTAGTTACACTAAAATAGGACAGATGCATACCAAGAGTACTTTTATTTCTCCATTTAATGCAACCTCCTGGAGAAAGCCTGAGTAAATGAGTGAACCCTATCATATGCACTGGGGAAGGTGGAAATCCAACCACACTTCAGTGCCCTGAAAAGACTCTCTGGGGAGTATTGATTCTGCCTGTACCTTCAAAAAAAAGGGATGCAGCCAAAGACTCTCCTGGGCCAGCTTGTGTGCATCAAAGAGAGCCAACAAAACCTAAACAAAGCCCAGACATGGATTACACCCTCCCAGCTGTGATCCCAGCACAGGAGGGCACACAGGTACAGCTGACATGTGTCTCCCCAGACTGGGGAGGGAAGTGCTGAAAGCTTTGTGCACTGCAGACACCTCACTGAGCTCACAGCTTCTTCCTGAACACTTTTGGGTGCTGGGCACTAACTGTGACATCCTTGTTGAGGGCTGACAAACTGTGTGCCCACACGAGGAAAATGCCATGCAAGTTGGCTCCAAAAATGGAAACAGGAGCTTTATTGATGAGATTTTGCAATGTGCTACTTAATGCTGCTGATGGATTTATACATCTCTGCTGGGGGTGTGTCTGTCAGCTGCCCCCTCTGCCTCACATGGGGCACAAATTCTGTGCTGATCCTGGACGGTCCAGACAAATTGAGCCCAAGAATCTCACACGTGAAGTTGTTCACAGCTCATGTGCTGAATTCAGCAGCTCTTGTTCCCGTGCCAAATAGACAGCACAGAGAGTTTAAAGAGAAAGTTTAAAAGAATAATAATTTTTTTAAAAAAATATCTTAAATGACTTGATTAAACCCAATCCAATTTCACTGTGGATTGTATTACCTAGAGGAAATGAAGCAGGACTGTGGCACATGAAAATTTGTTTTTAATAGATATTCTTGTTATAAACGTGAGGAGAGAACATATATTTCCCCTAATATTTTTTTGCTTTTTTGCATAGCCTTTTTCCAAGGCAAGCTTCCTCGAAAAAGGTCCCTGCAGCACCCATACATCCAATCTCATATTCCACTCCTAAAGCAGGCAAAAACTTAAGAGAAATCCCAGCTCCTGAAACATGATCTTCCTTGCAGTACAGCACTGAAAGCGAGGAACGCTTTCTAAGATAAAAATTAAATGTTAAATCTTTGTAAGACTGCATTTTATTCAAGCACAGAAGACAATACAACAGATGGAAACGCTCATGCAATTCTGACCCTGCCTCAAATGTCTCTTTCCTAAAGCACATTGAAAGAGTTCCGAAAAAACTGTTTTTCTTCACATAATTCCTGATACTACAGAGCCATCTTGGTATCATTTTGCCTTTCCTTCCTATTTTACTGCTGCTTTATTTATCGCTTTTTATCAAAGCGCTACGAACGTGTCTTCCCTTTATGTCTGCTCCTCATTTACTATGATTTCAAACTTGCTAGCTCAGTACCAGCAGCAATCCAGCTGTGGCAGAGCACAATATAGGCTATAAAGGCTGTGCAAGAGCAGTAAATACCTCGCTGATAGCCTGCCTTCAATTCCGTGCTGCTCCACTTAAACCATTACCACAACTCGAGAGGGTTTAACTGCAGCGACCGCAGTGCAGCCGTGCCGTTTGTGCCGGCTGGGGTTTTTCCTCCCAGAGCCTTTGCTAATGCTGTTTTCTGCTTTGTTTACACAGCAGTTTTATAGCCCCATTTGTCTGCCTTACTGTTGTTATCGGCATATTGATACGTGCACGGCGGCCAGCGCTCCGGCCTGGAAAGGGGTGGTGGTGCTGGTGCTCTGAAAAATGACAGCTTGCTTTGGTCACTGACCAGCTGCAAGGAAAGGCTTCTATTTCCCTCTTAATCGGTTATTATATTCAGGCATGCAGGCCAGGTAAATTAATTTGAGCATCCTCTTAAGAAAAAAAAAAAAAAAAAAAAAGAACAAACCACAAAAAACACACCCTAAGCGAAAATTGGAGCAACACTATCATTCATTCAGACACAGTTTAAGATCGTGAGCCGCATTGCTTACCTATGGATATGGTCCAAACTGCAGCAATTTTCATAATGGCCTTGGTGCGGGAATTGAAGCGGCTGTGCTCAATGGGATTGCGTATTGCTACGTACCGATCAAGAGAGATGGCACAGAGATGCATAATAGATGCAGTTGAAAAGAGCACATCTAGGGAAATCCATATAGGGCACAACTGTTTAGGCAAAGGCCAAGCATAATCTGAAACATAGAGAGAAAAGAAATGAAAGGAAAAAAAGAAAAGGAAATAATCTGGGGAGGGGGGAGGGCCAGGCCGTCAGTTCTGAGAAACCATTGGGGTGTTTTGACTCTGCGACACCAGTAAGGGGCACGTGCACGAGGAGGGGACAAGAAACCTCTCACAGGATCTCTCCACAGGCAGTCCCTGGCTCTGGACGCTCCATAAACCCCACGACCAGTTCCCACAGATCTGATTTCTGTGAGCAGTATCTAAAAGGGCAGTGCCTTCAAGTGACCACGTCAGCTCTGCTTTCCCCTCTCTTAACCTTTCCACTGTATCTTTAGGAAATCAAAGATTACATTCCTTTGTAGCTGCCTCATCACACTCTTTTGGTGGATAGCAAAGCTCTTTGTGGCATTAACTTTGCTCAGATCCTTTCCAAAGCTCCCTCGATCTGCAGGTCTCAGTTCCTGTCTGCTGAGGAGAAAGGCAGTTTTTCTGCACAGCCTAACATAGCTGAGCGACGCCACTCCACCTTTTCTCCCCAGGCAGCGTGCCTTAACAGAGGAACACTCCCCTCCTTACAGAGCAGCTGGGATCCAGTGGCTGAAATTTGAAAACTGTTTTGAAGGCAGACAGAGCAGAGCATTATTCTTTACAGAAACAAGTATGGAACCAAATGGAAGGGACTAGATAGCTACGTCTGACAGCAGCTGGCACGCAGCTCGTTTGGGTGCCTGCACTTATTAAACTGTTTATTCCGTGCTAGAAGTACAGTTTGAGAGTAAAAGTGACCCAGCAAGATCCACAAGGGGCAGTGATATTTAAATTAAAACTCAGAAAAAAAAATTGATTTGTGAATGATACCCCCACGTCAATGCCCAGAATGGATTGTGTGAGATCGATAGCAGAGCCCTGCCAAGCTCTGGGCCTCTTATGAAAACAAATCAGGAGTATCTACAGCAGCTGAAAACATGAGAGACTTCATAATAGTTGAATAATGAGATACTCCTGTGTCTTCATTCAGAACGTGGATATCTAAAGCAATCTTGAAGTTTACCCCAAGGATCAGAATCATCACTCTGCAGAATCAATGTTATATTAAGAATGGTGCAGCTCCATCCCACTGATCTTGAATGGAAAAGATGAAACATTAGTCTCAGAAATCATATTTCGAAACAAATTACCCAGCCGAGAGAGACCCAGGATACCTTCATGCAGAAACCTGAGATGAACTGAACCAGAGTAAATGATTATGAAATGTCCCAGAGAAGCCCAGGAACCTTTCACAAAGAGCACAGCAGAACCAGATGGACACATTAGTTCATTTTACCGGTAGGAAACCCACAGATGAAGTGCTAAGTACTCACCAAACCCACACAAGACCCCAGCTCTGGGGAGATAAGCCATTCATTTCAGCAAGTTTGCACTACTGCTACTAAAGGACTACTACTAAAAGCACTGTAAGTGGACTGAAATCCACAATCATTTAAGAGGTCCCTATTGAAGTGAAGCACTTTGTGGCTGGAGCATCTTTATTTAAAAGGCACCTCTGCTGAACAAATGAATTGAGCTTGGTTAAATTATGACTCAGCCCCTTTATGACACTACAATCAAACTTCGCCTCCTAATCATGTTCACACTTTGCAATAGCTTAGGACATCATTGCCATCAGCCTGCAACTGAGCTCAGAGCTCCTCTTAAGCACACCTCACGTTTGCTGGGTCTTTAATGATGCCCCAGTGAATGCCCTAGGGAAGAACAAGTCTGAAATCCTACAAGTGGCAGCTCTACTCCCTGCACAGCCCCAGGCTTTTGCTGCCAGCCTGTGCTAAAGTACAATCAGCACATTTTATACCTCACTACTTCTCCTCTGAGTTGCCAGAGCCAGCTTTCTGCTGCAGGCTGAAATGAGCCAGGAGCACAAAGCCCCTGAGCGTGTCCTGATGGAGGAGGAGATCCTTGGGAATGCGTGTGGGGGGATCATGCCGTGCAGCAGCCTCTGCACCAGGGAGCAGTGACATGGATGGCCACTCCCCACATCAGACAGACAGGCAGGAAATCTCCAGTGTCTCCAGAAAGAGGTGCCAGGCCTCCAGGCTTCCCATGCATGGGAGCATCTCCCATCTGATCTGTGGCATTGCAGTGGGTACAATCTTATTCCTGACATTTGCTAGGCCTGGGAGAGGTTTCTACAGCAACCACCTTTTCAGTATTCTTGAATGACGAATTTTGAGCTACCCAAACACTTCCCATGCTCCCCTGGAACAACTTCTGCTGTTGATGTGAACTAGGCACAGCACTGCAACCAAAAACCCAGGAGGAGCAAAAGCCACAGTAAATATTCCTGCCCAAGGTGTGAGGAGAGGAGGTATCACCTGCTGTCAGCCCTGGCACTGCAGGAACCAGCAGATCCAAGTAACACTGCCCAGAGTCACTGCCCAGGCAATCTACCAGGATGTTTTTGAAGATAAAGGTGGTATGAGAGCTCTCCTAAAGCTGAATCCTTTTAGTTTTTACTGTCCCAGGGCACTCTGCTACGCTTCTCGCTGAAAAGCCAGTTATAGGAGGAGACATTTTACTTTCCCAGGAAGTTTCCTAAAATGATCTGCAGCAAGAAAATGTCACTCAGGAAATTTGTAGAATGGCAGCTTGTAACACATCACTATACCTTGATAGGAAGGGCATAATATATACTCTATTTCCAAAAGTAATTATTTTTAAGTAAGCATGGTGCTTGCATTTGAGAAACACCTACACAGCCTACGAAGCCAGTAATTTGTATAAAAGGGAAAACAGATTTATTCTAATTCTGTTTTGAATAAATGTACAAAACATAGGAAATGTGCCCTGTGACTGTGCCAAGATGCAAACAAGGATTAAAAAATACTCTGTTAATGATGTTATATCTTTAAAGCAATCTTATCCTTAGAAACACTCTATCTGCAGAACATAACATTTCTCTAATTTGTTCTATTTTCTCTCATTTCATATATACAAAGACTAGTAATTACCACATATTTAGAAGAGCAGATGACTGAGTGAAGTGAATTCTTGGACCCCAGCACTTCTAAGATGTATCAGTTGCATTTCCAACAGAAATGATGTATTTCAGTTCAAATTTGGCTCCAGAAAGAATGAAACAATGGGTAAAAAACCCTCAGATTCTTTGTAAGAAACTCTGATTTTTGTACCTCGAAATAATCTTAAAATCACATATTTAATGCACTGTCTGGTAGGCCAGATAGGAGAGTGCTGAGGGGAATTAGATGAATCCAGCAGATCAGAACAGAAGTTTGTATTTCTTTACCCAGTGTGTAATCAAACTGCAGGGTTTTTTTGCCTCCAGACATTTTGTGAAAGCCAGAAGTTCACACTGGACAAATTCACAGAGAAAAGTATAAAGCAAAGATATTACTTTTAGATCAGTGTCGGCTTCTGGCTCTGGTCAGAATAAAACACAGTGTATAAAATCCAGGCAGGAAACTTCTGCAGAATATTGCTTCAGCCTTCAACGCTGAGCAGCACCCCCTGGAATCTGAGTTCTTCACAGGACACGTGGAACAAACACTCATATTTAACCAGGAGTCCTGGTCCCTGAGTGGATTTCATCTCCTGCCCTGGGATGAAAAAGCAAACCACAGTTCCTGCGTGTCACTGAAGAGCTGAGGTGAACGCAAAGTGCTGGCAACAAAATACAGAAACTCGGAGGCGTTTTGGCGAAGTCACAGAGCTCCTCTGTGTGGAGATAATTTCCTGTTGGATAAGAGGTCCTTCCAGTTTTTGTGCTTCCCATCAGGAAAGGTGGCAGCTATGAAATTGGGTGGCTTTTGTCAGAGGTTTTATGTGTATGGGTAAAAAGGGTCGCTTAACACCGTTATTATGGTGGTGTGCTCTTCACTGCATGAGAGGCAAAACTACCAGACACTGTAGCAGGAGATGGCTGAATAAGCCAAACCACATCAAATGGAATCAAAATTAATTATATCAAACGGTAAAACGGAATTACTGCAGTTTGTAGGAGAATGAACTGGAAAACAAAAATAAAAAATGTCTTTGCTTGTACAAGTTAAGTACTATAATGCAATCTGCTCCACTGTATCTCCTGGGAACACGTTGTGTAACACCTAGGACAAATCTGGAGTAATAGCAACAAAATACCTGCTTACACCACAATAAAGCAAAGAATTATGTAAAATTTATCCCTGTAGCTTCAGGAGTTATTAATGGGAAACTCACAGTAAGCTGCATCAATCGTCTCTTTCCTAACCATGAATATGAATTTGGCAAAGGTTTCAAAAACCCTGTTGTGTGCTGTGGAACAAAGCCTATCCTTGCCCACTGCTAAAAGTCTTTTTACCACCACTCCACCACTGAAGCATTTTATACCAACCAGAATTTCCAGTGCTCACTTTAAACTTTCATAGCTGCCACAGGCCTTACAAAAATAGAAAGCAATTACATACAGTTTTAACATTACTGCATTGCATTATTCCCAAGGGAACGAAGGAATTTAAATTATTCTCTTCTCTCTCTCTCTTATCTAGGAAGTAAAGAATTTCTTAGCTTTATGCTTAGTGATGTGGTCTTTCAGGCTATGTTATCTCTTTTCTGCTGGTTTATTTTCTTCAGATTTACACAGACAAATGACTCAGAGACCTCTGTGTCACCCTGAGAGTCACACAGCCGAGGGTGCTGAAAATCTCCACCGTGCCCAAGAAGTACAGAATGTCTTGCTTGACCCCCTGCAGTCCTCAGTGGTTGTCAATACATCCACAGAAGGGCCCAAGCAAGTGTAGCCTCCTGGCTAGAGGAACAGCTGGTCTCAAGGGCAGCACTGCCAATGCTGTTTGATTTTATCATCAATAAGAGCAGAATTTAATGTTTTTTTCCCCGACATATTGAACTCCCAGACACTGGGTTACATGAGAAACTGAGTTTATCTTTAAATTTCTAGACTGCATTTTCTAGTGGGGAAAAAAAAAGGCTGTCCTAATGCTATCTGAATCCCTTAAATAGA